GTTTTTCTAGTTTCAAGTTTCTACAGTACTTTTTGTGTGTAAAATATTAAAATATGAAATGTACAAAAAACAGCTGTTTGAACTCAGCACAGAATAGGACTTTATAACTGTTTCTTTTAGGAGTTAATAAATATTTAATCAATATATTAAATAACTTATCCCCAGGAAGAAAATACATCCTGGATCTAATGGAAAAATCCTAGTTTCACTCTATTCAGTGAATGTGATCCCCCAACCCTATCTTTATTTTGACTGTCCTGATAAATTTAGATTCTGTTAAGAGTATCTATCTTTCAATGTGGAGCTCTGTCCATGGGGGCTTTGCTGGTTAGAAGTTTTTTGAGCTCAGACTGATCCAGCCCCTTGGCTTAACCAAGCTTCCTTGGGACCCACTGCAAACCTCTCCCAATTTTGGCTGTAGTTCTTAAACTGGCTCACTGAACTTCCAAGTGAGAACGTGTTGTTCTGGAGTTGAGATGCATCAGATGCTCCATTGCTTCTTCTGGAACAGGGGATACCATGAAAGTCTTGTGGCAATTGATGGTTTATTTCTACATACCTTATTTTGGGGCTCATGGGGGATACTTAGTTTTCCTGTAATGTTGCCCAAGGTTTTGTTTTGCTACCATGGCCGCTCTGTGCACTTTTATTAAGGATTTGAGAAATATTCAAAACAATATTATCTCAGAATCACTTCCAGGTTAAGTTCTGAAAATAGAAACAGGTAAAAGTTAAAGGGGAACACCATCTTCTTCAATGACTATGCTTTTCTCTAAGGTGTTGTCTTCATCAACCTTGAGCACAGGGTATATATATATTAAGAACTTTGGCAAAACCCTTCTTTTCTCCCTGAGCTTCACAGAAGATTAAAGAGGCTGTCCCAGCTCTGGTTGATGAGCTTATACTAGTAATATATGTAGTTTCAAAGCAAATGGACCACTTAATTTGGACAATGGTGCACTTTTTTTCTTCAGGGTGACCCTCACACTGATGCCCCAGGAACAAAAAGGCCTGGCTGCTGTTTACAAGGTATAAAAGGGTATGACATACTTTTTCAGCTAGTTAAGTGACTTCTAGGCACAGATTCATAGCATTTCTGGCATTTCTCTATTTTTTCCTGGAAAAACTGCAAAATTTCCAAAACTGTCAGTTTGGATCTGCCATTTAGAAGAGACACATCTTGGACAAGTTGTATTTTCTAAAATTCATTAGCAACTTATAAAACAGAGATAATACCTACCTTATACATTAAGTTTGAATGAGCTAGCTGATGGCATAAATGGAAGAGTCTGACAAACTGGAAAGCCATAAATAAGATGCACCATTGCACTAGTTTAATACTGTTCAGCTTCTTACATTTATACCATATCAAAACCACAGTACTTAGTAATAGAGTAGGTACTTGATAACAATAGCAAACATACTAATTCCTAATAGGCATGCCTGGCACGCAGTAGGGATTTAGTAAATAATTATGGAACAGAACCTTCCAATTCTGGCAATAATCAGATGAGCTTAAGCCCTGTGGTATAGCTGGAATATTGAATCAGGCCTCAATTTCCCATCTTTAAATTCTAGCATCTGACTTGCTTCCTTCTCAGAATTATGAGACCAAATAAGACACTATATATGGCCCAGCTACAGTGGCTCAGTAGTTGAGCGTTGACCTATGAATCAGGAGGTCATGGTTGGATTCCATGTCAGGGTACATGCCTGGGTTGAAGCCTCCATCCCCAGTAGGGGGCATGTGGGAGGCAGATCAATGATTCTCTCTCATTATTGATGTTTCTATCTCTATCTCTCTTTAACTCTCCCTTCCTCTCTGAAATCAATAAAAATATATTTTTAAAAAGAACTACAGCCCTAGCCAGTTTGGCTCAGTGGATAGAGTGTCGGCCTGGGAACCGAAGGGTCACGGGTTCGATTCTGATCAAGGGCACATGCCCAGGTTGTGGGCTCGATCCCCAGTAGGGGGCGTGCAGGAAGCAGCCAATCAATGATTCTCTCTCATAATTGATGTTTCTATCTCTCCCTCTCTTTTCCTCTGTGAAATCAATAAAAAAAAAAAAAAAAAATAAAAAAAATATATATATATATATATATATTTTTATTAAAAAGGCACTACATATGGAAATACTTCTTAAAGAAGACCATGAACCTATTTTTTTCACCCCGGGCAGAATTCAGTTGTGGCTCTTATAAGATTACTAAGTATTCCTACAGGCATTTTGGAAAGGCCTTCAAAAAAGGTAATTTTTATTCTGTCTCCAACTGGTTACCTCCTAAGTTCTTTAAAGAAACGAATAGCATTTTCTCTATTTTTGAATCCCTTATATGCTTAGCAAAGTGGTAGTGTATCATAGGTTTCAGTAAATATTTGTCAAACAGTATAATACTGTTACAGCAATCCATCAGCAAGCACTGCTGTTTACTTGCAAAACATGCCCTGATTTCAAGTACTTCTCCTTATCCCTGTTAATACTATCTTTCTTTAAAAAAATATATTTTATTGATTTTTTTACAGAGAGGAAGGAAGAGGGATAGAGAGTTAGAAAGAGGGATGAGAGAGAAACATCGATCAGCTGCCTCCTGCACACCCCCTACTGGGGATGTGCCCGCAATCAAGGTACATGCCCTTGCCTGGAATCGAACCTGGGACCCTTCAGTCCGCAGGCCGACGCTCTATCCACTGAGCCAAACTGGTTACGGCTGTTATTACTATCTTAATAGAAGCCATCACTGTATTGTTGCTTGCCTAAATAATTGCTATAGCTTCCAAACTGGTTTCCCGGCATCTATTCATCTCTCCCAATTGGATCGAAACAATCAGAGTAATTTAAAAAAACTAACCAACCAATAAAACATAAATTAGACTATGTCATCTCTCTGCTTAATATTCTGCAATGACTTGCCCACTGTACTTAGAATCAGATTCTTTAAACTAAACCCACAGGCTGTACCTCAGATCTCAGCAAATCTGACTAGCCCAGCCGTGGGCAAACTACAGCTTGCGGGCCAGATCCGGTCTGTTTGAAATGAATAAAACTAAAAAAAAAAAAAAAAAAAAAAAAAAGACCGTACCCTTTTATGTAATGATGTTTACTTTGAATTTATATTAGTTCACACAAACACTCCATCCATGCTTTTGTTCCGGCCCTCCGGTCCAGTTTAAGAACCCATTGTGGCCCTCGAGTCAAAAAGTTTGCCCACCCCTGGACTAGCCACATATTTCTGTAAATATAGTCTTACTGGAGCACAGCCATGTACTGCCTATGGCTGTTTTTGTGCTGCAATGGCAGAGCTGAATAGTGTGACAGCAACCACATGGCTTGTAAAGCCTAACTATATTATGTGGCCCTTCAGAGAAAGGCCAGTTTGCTGACTACTGTACCATACGACCCAACGCCTATCTTCCTGGGTATCTACCACCCCCCTTCCCTGCCCTGGTCATTCACTATATCCTAACCACAGCATTCTTGCTCAGAAGCTTTGTACCTGCTGTTTAATGCCCCAGGAAAGATCTTTATTCTTATCCCCTGACTGCTTCCTTACCACTGAGGTCTCAGCTTAAATGGCACCTTCTTAGAAACTTCTCTGATCTACCAATTTAGAGTGAACCCTCAAGCTCCCTAGTTATGTAACAGCTGTGAAACAATAACATGGTAATGACTACTTGAAATTATGGACTGGTTTAGTTCTCACCCTGCTCTACAGTGTAAGCATCTTGAAAGCAGAGATTTTTAATCTGCCTTCCTCAATGCCCCATTTAAATCACATAAACCCACCACCAAAAACAATGCCTGAAATTATTTAATAGAAAAGAATGAGGCCAATAAGTCGTTGCTGAATGAATAAGGTTAAGGCCAAGGTCAGGAACTCTAGTCTGGTTCAAGTCAGTTTGCAATGCTCAGTTCCACTGCTGCAGACTGACCTGCCCGTAATCATAATAAAAGGCAGAAAGAAGACCAATCCATATTCCTGGCCTCACTATGGGCACAACTCCACCAAGAGCACATCCTTCTGAACGTGGGTACACCTTGCCCTCTTCAGGTAAGGAAACAGTTAGGAAAATATGGCAAGGCAAGGTCACAGAACTGGACAAAGAAGTTCTCAACTTTATGATTATTATGGTTAAGAATTTTATTATCAAAATTATTACATCTCTTGTGAAAGTTCAAATGTTACATCAAGGTGTAAACACTCCACTTGAGAAAGAAGTGATACTTCTTTCCTTCCAAGAGTTCCCCCCACCCCCCGCCCCCATCCCCCCCAGAGGTCTGGTCTTGACAGCACCCTGCCCACACAGAGTGGCTGGGGTCTCTGCACGTGCCAGGCAGGGTGAGGGCCGCCTGCCTGCTGGCCTCTCCCCTTGGTTAACAGCCAAGGAGAGAATGCAAACCCCAGCCCAAATGGAGAGACATTTACATACGTTTTATATAATATACAAAGAAACCAGCATCCCAGGCCACATGATTTCCACTCCCAAGGCTCTCCCAGACTGATGGGTTTGTGGGGGAAACAATAAAAAGAAAAGTATTCTGCTGAGTTGTCAGCATTAAAAAGAAAAATCTCCCCTCATTTGAGCAAACACCTGATTTCAATTGTGAAAAAATGAAATTTTGTAACAGTCACACACAAAGAGAGAAGACTGTGCATATGATAGTTGTAGGAAGGGTAGAAGGGGACAGAAGAGGCTGGGCAAACAACAAAAAAAACAACAACAAACTGGAGGGAAGGAAGGAGGGAGACTCACAGTATTATCTTGTCCAAAAGAAAAGAAGTAAGGTCCACTGCAGCACCAGGGATTACACCTGTCATAGATCTGCTACCCCTACCATGGTTATAACTGAATACAAAATTAGATAAATAAAAACACGCCGGATATTACAGTAAACAAGTGAAAGAAATAAGCTGGCAACCGTATGGAATTTAAAAAGATTGTGTACCCCACCTGGGCTGGCTCCAGGGCTCCTCCAGGGGTGTACAGCAGGCACAATGCACTGATGGGGAGAAGCCAGTCTGCTCTTGTCTCTCATCCAGAACAGTGTTAGGTGCGTGGGTGGCTTTCTAACTGTCTCACCCAGGCCACTCTCAAATAAGCATCCCCCAAAGAAATGTGGAACATGCCCACACACAATCACAGTCCTGTCGGCACCACTCCACAAATCTTTCCACTCTTACCCTGCAGTCACGAGTGCATGCTCCCCAATCACGGAGGCGGTCCTACTCATGGGATCGTCAACTCCTGATTAATTGGGAGTAGAAAAAATAAAATTCAAAGAATTCCCAAACCATCTGGGATACTTCCTAAGTAAATTTATTGCCAACAGCTGATAAGTAGCAATTGGCCCACCTCTCTTATCATTCCTCTTTCCTTTACCTATTACTTCATGGGTTACTGAGCTGTGAAATAGCTTGGGGAAGGGGAGTGGGATGGTAACAGCTGGGGGATCAGACAATCTACTAGGTTAATCTGCTCCTGAATAATCAAGGATTGACCACAAGCTTTTCTTCAGAGAGCCAGGCATCCCTTAGAGCACATTCCAAGCTTCACTATCCCTGCCTATTTCTCGGTGATTTAAAGACAAAGGTAGGAACATACTTGGTGGACACATCTTGGCTGGATATCTGCTTTTGGAATGGTTGTCTTCCGGTGAACATTTACATACCTACCTTTTTTTTTAAGTGCATAAAACCCTAACACTATTAGATGGCTTGGGGTTTGGAGATTGGCTCTTTTCACATTTTTTTTTCTTTGAAAAGAAAACTTTTTTTGGATTTAAAAAGATGTCCTCACTGCACAAGTGACTACAGGCTACAGGCAAGGATGGGAGACGGAGGCTTCAACACAACTCATTGCACTTAGAACCGTTACTAACCGAAACACCATTTGCTTGTCAACAATGTACCCTTAACAGCAGGGAGAAACTTCTTTATAGTCTCTGCTTCAGACAAGATTTACATCTTTCTCCAAGGCCTGAGCCTGTTGTGACCACAAGTCTTGTTTCTTGTCGACCAGACCCAATCCTCTGGCACCTTGTACCCCCTTCCCCAGCAATCTGCTTGGCCTAGGTTCCAGAGGCAGCTGGAAGGAAGCAGCTATGGGCTCATTCAGTTCGGTTTGCCCAAATCCAGAAGCCCTAGGAAAGTCCTGTCTGAGTCTTGACTCCCGACCCTTGCAATGGCTGGAGTCGGTACTGGTGCACACCCCCACTCCCGCGGTGCGGGTAGTGCTGTGAATTGGAAACCGCAGATACCCTGGAGGCCTGGTAGGCAGTGGACTGCCCAGCACTGGGCAGACTGATAGTCCGTAAGTCTGATGGCAATGACGACCTAGAGTTCTGAGGAAAGGAGGTGGAACTCAGAGTTCCTGTGCTGGACTGGGAAACCGAGTCTGAGGTCGGTGAGTCTGAGGGCCCCTGCGGGGTAGGGCTAGCAGCACTCGAAGGGCAGCTCTTCCTTGGAAGACTGCTGCCCGTGCTGTTTCCAGAATGTGGCTGGCTGCTGTAATACCCTGGGGTCCCCGTAAATGAGGCCAATGAGTCTGTGGACACAGGGTGGGCGGGGCTGGAATAGGACGTAGAGGAGAGGGAGGATTCTGAAGAACCGTGAGAGGGGGGGTTTCCAGGTCTCAGTGCAGTAGTTCGATAACTGTATCCTGGAGATTGGGTGGGATGTCCTCGAAAGGGGGAGGAACTTTGTTGAAGTAGGCTTTGTGATTCTGTCCGTGGACTATCACACTGCAGGAGCTAGAAAGAGTTGGGAAGAAAGGATAAAGAGGTGAAAAAGTCCCTATTTAAGCCATTTAGGTTTGTGAATATTTAAAACACCCTACTTTTTCTTCATCTTAACTACTGTCCTTTTTAGAATACCAAAGACAGTAAAATGGCTATCTCTGATCACTTTATTTTTCTGGAATGATTTGATTACCCGAAGGTGAGCAGATGATGGCTTATTTCTAAGGCTGCTGAAACTATACACAAAGATGGCATCTCAAAACACTGGCATCCAGAACATATTCCTATGCCCAGAGATGAGCAATTTTTCGCCTCACCTGGTAGCTGTATCTGGAAGGGCTGTAAACGGCCGCTCCTTTTGAGAGTGCCGAGCTCAGTGTCTCTGGGCCTTCTCCATCTGCAGGGTCTGGAATGTAATACAAAATCAACTTGGCTTCTTAGAAAGTGAGAAATAGCCATTGTTTATTGCAATCACCAATGCCATCACTAATCCATGCTTCTCTCTTTCTGTCAAATAAGCTGAGTGCAGCATGCGACAAGGGCAAACGGAGTGGTTAATTATGGGCTATGTCTTAAATGCCTGATCTGACTCCTGTCTCCTTTCTCTTCATCCTCCAACAGGATAGATTTCCAGGCCTTTGGACAGATGAGTTACCAAAAGGTATCCCTTGGGGGGAAGCAGACAGAGAGAAAGCAATGGTAGATCTTAAGAATGCTATAGCCCAAAAGAGTAGAAGTAAACCAAGCTGGAACCGTGCATACAATGAAGCCCAACCACATAAGAAGCTGACTCACCTCAGCCTAGCATTTGTTATGAAATGTATGGAGCCTGGTCACACGACCCTCAACTGGTTGGCAGCACAAAGCCATAGGCTTACCTGAGTCTTTCTCTGTGATGTTACTCTCCCATGTGGGAGAAGGCTCTCCTTTTTGGGCCACTCTCACACTGCTTCGGAGGACCTTGGGGATGCTCCCTCCTTCTCGGAGTCGTTCTACTGATGTGGGAACCATCCTGTGAAGGCAACAGGGTGCAAGTTTATGCCGCAGGACTTCAGAGTCAAGAGTCTGGAACATCTGAATCTCTGACAAAGGTTGTACAACATATTCACTTAAAAAACATCTTCTTAGACATCATTTTCTTCACCAATTTAAAACAAGATGTTTTCTCTACTCAAACTATGTCAGGCACAAAAGAAAAAAGACTTTTAAAGAAAAAGCACAATAAAGAATTTTTAAAAAATTACATTCCATCTTGATGTTAAAAAAAAAAAAGCAATCAAGGAAAAAGTAAATTTAAGATGTCTACTTCTTTTAACGAACCCTCACTCCCCCAAATTATAAGAGAAAGTTTATTTAGAAAGTTACAGAGGTAGTAAAAGCGAGCCACAGAAGAAATGGGCTCAGGGCACAAGTTACAGAGGCAAAAGAAGGGCCCTTGGAGCTTAGGAGAAAGGCAGAGGTGACAAACCTGGGGGAAGGGCAAGTCATGGGCATGCTCCCAACAGGGAGAGTGTGTTCAACCCCCATTTTGAAATGCTAAGTTTTCTCTCCTGTGAAGTCATGTGCCTGGCACATGTAGTATTTAATACATGTTTATTAAATAAACATGTAGTATTTAATATATGTTTCATAGATTAATAAACATTTATTTGAGCCCCACTCTTCTTGCCCAGAATTCATTTCTTCAGTTCAAGATCACTGAACTGCCTCATCCTCTATTTCACTCATCTGGGATACTCAAGTACTTGCCATCAGTATTAGTTATTTGTGGTCTCCCCTAAGCCAGACAAGTTCTTTCAGAATATGTCTTATCTCTCTTCTAGCTGTGTGGAATTGAGACTTCTGTTGTCAATTTAAAGTGAAACTGAGCTGAACTCCTGATTTACCTTTCATATGAAATGAGATAACATAAGAGGCAGTGTTAGGGCCCAGCAAATACTATACTGTATGCAGTTCAAAGTGGTGTACCACAGGATCGGTGGCAATTGTTTGCTTTTATAAAGCTGGGGTGGTGGTGGTGGTGGTGGTTCTGGCTGATATTATTTAATCAGCTGAACAGGATAGAGGGCACTGTTGTCTTGCTTTCTCAGATAAGTGTTCCCATACATTTAGATAAAATTGGGAACAATTCATTTAATTATTAAAGCATCAAATATCAACTTACCACCTACTGCTGATATTCTCTTGTGGTCTGCAGTGAGATGAAGTGCCTCTGGAATCAGATGGGCTTACCGCCTCCAAATGGGACAGAGAGGAATGAGATGGGGAGAACTTTTTGTGAGGGGAAGATGGGGTTCGGGCTGAGGATCCCTGCACACCGTGGGCACCAGTGTCAGAAAGTGAGTTACTGCTGCCTTGCCCAGCTCCTGCAGACTTGCTTTTGCTCTGTGCAGAGTCACTGCCCCCACCAGAATTCTCCTTGGCTTCCTGTTTCCGTTTGCGGTACTCCAGCAGGGATACCTAGGAAGGAAATAACGAACAGGACTCTAGACATTGTTAGTGGATCAGCAGCAATGGGGAAATATAGACCCCTATAAACCATCAGCAAGCCATGCAAACAAAGCAGGCACCAACATTGGCAACTTTCGTCAGGTATGATGCAGATCTGAGCACAGCTACATATTTACATCAGTTAGATATTGGTAAGGAGAAGAGAAGACACCAGGCAATAATATTTTTGAGGACTGGTATTCACTAGTAGAACTCAACATTTTTTTCTGCCTTCAGAAAAACTTGTGAGATTATAGTGCTATCATAGTTATCTGCAACAACAGTAGCTCCTAGAAAAGGGAGGGAAGAGAGTTGGGAGCTTATGTAGTTTGAAAAAGTCTTCCAGGTGATTCTGATAACTTTTCCTAATGCCTTAGAAATCCTTAGAGATAGCTGCTTAAAAAAAGAGAGAAGCCTGGCCAGAGTGGCTCAGTGGTTGAGCGTTGACCTATGAACCAGGAGGTCATGGTTTGATTCCTGGGCAGGGCACATGCCTGGGTTGGGGGCTCAATCCCCAGTGTGGGGAGTGCAGGAGGCGACCAATCAATGATTCTCATTATTGATGTTTCTCTCTCTCTCTTCCTCTGTAAAATCCATAAAAATACATGAAAAAATAAATTTTTAAAATGTCAGAAAAAATATTTTTTAAAGAGAAAAAAAAAATACCCCCAAACAAAAGAAAAACCCTATTCTTCAGGGTTCTTAAATGTGCTTAATTTTCCAAGATACACTCAAGAGATTCATTAATGTTTGTCATACACATAGAGAAATTAGTATAAAAAGAGAAAAAAAATGATATCACTTCTTATAGTAGCAAGTCAGCTCTATTAAACCTATACAGACTTGGAAATTTCTCCCCATCTCATCGCTCATCTGCCTCATTCTTCCCGACCACCACAACACAATCCGCTCCTTGCCCCGCCTGGCATACCTTCTCTGTGCTGCTACAGGGCATTGTGCTTACACTGCTGGTAGTCTGTTACAATGTGTTGCTTGTTTCCCCACTAAACTGTATGGTCTACCAGGGCAAAGACCAAGTTTATTTGTTTTTTGTGTTTTTAAAAAAAATATATTTTATTGATTTTTTACAGAGAGGAAGGGGAGAAGGATAGAGAGTTAGAAACATCGATGAGAGAGAAACATCGATCAGCTGCCTCCTGCACACTCCCCACTGGGGATGTGCCCGCAACCAAGGTACATGCCCTTGACCGGAATCGAACCCGGGACGCTTGAGTCCGCAGGCCGATGCTCTATCCACTCAGCCAAACTGGTTAGGGCTATTTGTTTTTTTTATCTTTAACATCCAGCATAGAACTTGGCCAATAGCAGGTGCTCAGCAATAATTCTGAAATAAATCATGATTTCAATCATTTTTGCACATAATGAAACCAGAAATCCAAAGTCTATTTCCATTTTTGTTTCTGATAGACAATGCTGTTCATGCAACAGTCTTCAAAATCCATTGCTGTTTTATTCCAAATTACCTGCCAGTGTTTTCTCCTTCTATCTTCTTAGGGTTCTCATTTTTTGTCCAAATGTAATATAACAAAACTCTAACTAAGATAAATTTTACATATGCATTTTTCATACACAATCTTGGAAAGGAGTTAATAATTTTTGGTAATGTATTTTAACATAAATGTAAAAAGCCACTAAGCTACATTTTACCAATAGTACTAAAGATATTTTGCAATTATGTGAGACTGTCACACATACAGAGCATCTAGCTTCTCTATAATAAATAAATAAATAAAAGTTGCTGTGCCAACCCCCAAATACTCCCATGCATATCCAAATGCCCTTAGTTGAAAAATCACTGATATAAAAAGCAGACTTTTGGCTTTGTAATTTTTAGAACAGGCATTGCTTAAAAGCCAAGTCCCAAACCATTAGACAACTCTCTATAGCAGTGATGGGGAACCTTTTGAGCTCGGCGTGTCAGCATTTTGAAAAACCCTAACTTAACTCTGGTGCTGTGTCACATATAGAAATTTTTTGATATATGCAATCATAGTAAAACAAAGACTTACATTTTTGATATTTATTTTACATATTTAAATGCCATTTAACAGAGAAAAATCAACCAAAAAAATGAGTTCGCGTGTCACCTCTGACACGCGTGTCATAGGTTCGCCATCACTGCTTTATAGCCTGGCTCTGTCCATCTCTCTCTCTCTTTCTCTTTCTCTCTCTCTCTCTCTCTCTCTCTCTCTCTCTCAAAAATATATTTTATTGATTTCTTACAGAGAGGAAGGGAGAGGGATAGCGAGTTAGAAACATCGATGAGAGAGAAACATCGATCAGCTGCCTCCTGTACATTCCCTACTGGGTATGTGCCTGCAACCAAGGTACATGCTCTTGACTGGAATCGAACCTGGGATCCTTGAGTTGGTAGGCCGACGCTCTATCCACTGAGCCAAACCGGTTAGGGCTGCCCATCTCTCTTGATTTTCCTCCTTACTCTGCCCACCCTTCTCTGACACCATGGCAACACTCAACTGTTTACAATCACACCCCATCCATAATTACTTGTCACATAATTAATTGTTCTGCTCCCTCTTTTGTTACATTCTCACCCTCATTGTTGGATGATTGATTCCTACTTATTGTTTAAGATCAACTAAATCAGTGACCTGTTATCTCTCACTCCACCAGCCTTCAAATTGGCCAAGAGCTTCTGGCTTATTCTTAAAGCACCCTCCACAGATCTGACTAGCCAGGTTCCCCTGTTAAGATGTGTTCACCACTGAACAACTATTTTGAAGCATTCATCACCATAATTAATCACTTATTAATATAATTATCACTTGCTATGAGCCCCCATTAGGGCAGAACCTAGGAGGCAATATATATAGCATGGTGGCAATAAGAGCATGCAATTGAGAATCAAACAGACCTGGGTAGTATCCTGGCTCTTCCATTTACTAGCTGTGTGACCATGTGCAAGTCACTCAACTTGCCTTAGTTTCCTCATCTGCAAAGTGGGAAATTATCTATCTTACAGGATTATTTTGAGGATTAAGTGCTTAAGAAAGCTTAACAGTGACTAGAACATGGGAAGTGCTAAATAATACAACTAATTACTAATATTCTTTTCCACTGCTCTATTCTTTGAACTGCCTACTATGTGTATGGCACATACACGATAGGCATTTAAATTTGTTGATTATTTACAAAATTTATCAAATTGTATTAAAACAGCCTCTATTTTATTGGGCATGGCAGAGACCGTGTCTTATCTTTGTTTTCCTCACACTGAGAGCAGTGCTGAACACATAGTGGTAACTTCATAAATATCTATTGTTAGTGCTCTCTATGGTGTGAAACTTACCTTTTTCCTCTGTGGTGGGTTCTGGGGGGCAGATGGGACTCCTTCACAAGCCCTTTCACCACCAGGTGACATGGATCCACGAGAGACTTCTTTCATAAAACCATGTTCATATCTGCTGGGAAACCCTTCTGCAGGGGAACAATATCCCCCGTCCAAATGTAAAGGCTTCCTATCTCCTACTAGGGGAGACCCTCGATATAATCCATCTGCTCGAGGCATAGCGTTCAACGGGGAATAGGCATACATTAAGTTAAACTCTGTCCGAAATGCCTGGTCCGAGTTCCTCACGAGGGTCTGATGTCCATCCCCATTCCTGCTGGGAAAGCCAGTCTCAGAGGTGGGCCCAATGGAGGGGTGAGGAGCCAGGTCAGAATGAGCTGAGTTGATGAGGGACGGTCTGTCAGCACAGCTGTTAGTGTTGGAGTCAAGGTAGCCTACTTTTGTCAAGTCCAGGTCTTTTCGGTGACAAAGCTGAAAGAATAAAAATCAATGGAGACATGGGGTAGGGGAGAAGGAAAACAGTCAAAGGGCAGAAAAGAAAGGAGGGAAGAGGGGCACAGGTGAACAGCAGAGACAAAAGGGATGAAAGCAGAAGAGAGAATGCCATTAACATCTGTGAGTCCCATGTAGCAATAGTGTATACAGGCCAGATCACTAAACAACCCCCATCGTTACCAAATTACTTTCAAATCTTTCTGGAGGAGAATAATGAAAAAATTAGAATTAGGTAATTGGCCAAATGTGACTACTTTGCCTGCTTAGCCTTTCATCAGGTTTGCTGAATCGCCTTGCACTACATTAAGGAATTGGCAGTATTAATTTGGGATTTACCTGAGCCCCATGTATGCTACAGAGATGAGACCAGCTGGCTTATATAACTGGCTTCTGGTGTTATTCGTTTCTAAGTTAATATTGATGGAAGGTGGAAGGAGGAAAAAAGTTGAAAGAAAGTAGAAAGTAGATGGAAAATCAAGTATTTAAGGTACTGGTTCAGTAAAGGAGAATGGCATCAAAGACATCAACCAACCAGTTCTTCACTCACTTTCACTATTAAATAGATATGTTCCTCATAAAACCTTCTGGTCACTCAATTCTTATTTATCCTCTAATCTATGTCAACACACCATAATACCACTAATGCCCATCACTGCAGAATATCTAAAATGCTGAAATGTGCCAAAAATAAGCCCCATCTACTATTTGGTTATCATTACCTCCTAACACCAAGATTTTCTATCACTAGGTCAACTAACTAACTCTAGAAAGAATGGTTCCAGAAACCCAGATAATTTACCATGTTAGCCTCCAAAATACGCTATCTTAGAACCTTTAGCACCTGAGGAGAGAACACTGTACTTTCCTTGTAAGAAAAACCACCCAGAAAACCTCTAGTACACTAGAATACAACCTCTCTCAGTTTCACAATCCTCTATAAAATCCTACTGATTCGTAATTTGGTCAACTGTCACTGTGTTTAATACTAATTTCTTATTAGAAGGAGGGGTGTGTGTGTTAACAGTTAATTTCTAAAAGGTTATGTGAGATTATAACTTCCTCTTCAAGAGGAAAAAGACTATGTGGATTCATGGAATTAATCATTACTACCTCTGTCCAAATCTTCTAATAGTTAAGAAATGCTACCACTAAAGTCTAAATTTTAAATCTCCACAGCAACAGGGTTTCTGAGCAAAGCACTCAATTGATATCCTAAAGCAGTGGTCGGCAAACTCATTAATTAGTCAACAGAACCAAACATCAACAGTACAACGATTGAAATTTCTTTTGAGAGCCAAATTTTTTAAACTTAAACTATATAGGTAGGTACATTGTTATTAACTTAATTAGGGTACTCCTAAGCTGGCGTTTGCTAAAAACGTCCTCAATCTGATTGAGGTACGTTCACTGAGGTCGACCCCTTCCAACTCTCCCATCCACACTCGTCTTGTACACTTGTTTTGTCTATCTCCTTTCCAAAAACCAACTCTGTGCATGGGCCACAAAGTTTCAATCGCACTGTACGTACGCGCCCGCATGTGGTATTTTGTGGAAGAGCCACACTCAAGGGGCCAGAGCGCCACATGTGGCTCGCGAGCTGCAGTTTGCCGACCACTGTCCTAAGGGATACCACTTGTATGGCAATCATATTCCAACCACTGCAGAATGGAGGCCTGGGTCACAGAAGCCATGGGCTGCCATAGTTTCCCTGTGTACCCAGTAAGGAGCTACAAGAATGTAGAAAGCCAAGAGGCTTGCCTCTCCCATTTTAAAGAAGTTCCTCAATCTACCAACCAAAACCCAAAACATGCAGTTAAACAGAACTCTCAGATTAACCCAGGAACAAGGCATAAATCACTGCCTAACTTTCCCAACAAGCTGCTCCTTTATCAACCTAAAATAATAAATATCAAAAAATAGCTCATACCGACGTTTGATCCAACTTTCCCTACTTAAAAAACACACATTGTCAGACTTTCTTTAACAAGGCTCCTACCATACTTTCAGCCTTCATTAAACCTTACTTCTAGATACTATTCTTTTAAACTCTTTAGCCACTCCCTCCCCACCAAACACACATAGCTACTTTATTTTCCTCCACCTACATTGAGAGTTCTAAGTAACAACCAGTCATACATGGGAAGATTCATTCAACTTACAGTGACCAATCGGCCACCCTCCAGCCCATCACCCCATTTGCTTGGATACCCCAGCCCTTCCCATACACTCATGCACACTCACTATCAGCCTCCAAGTGTGATTGAGATGGTGTGATAACTACCTCGGGTGACAGGGATTCGGGCCTATTCGCAGGGTAACTCTCAGGGGAGGATATGTTCTAGAGGAGGGAAAAGCATCTTGTTATTCATCTACTTGAAGTCAAGAAGCAAAACAAAACAAAAAAATAAAGTAAAAGCAAGCATAGATAGTTAGCCACAACTTTTTTTTTGGGTGGGGTGGGAGGGACAAGAATGCACAGGGGAAATGTTTAACTGCAGAATTCATCTCAATGAACAGAATGATTTGTTAAAATGCTTCCTGGTGCCTTTGAAAGCATTTAAGAATAAATTGGTTATGTTTCATGCTATAAGTAAACATCTCAAGCAGATATCAGGGAAGAGGTGAAATTTCACACTATTACAGTTGACCCTTGAACAACACTGGTTTGAATTATGCACGTCCACTTATATATGGATTAAAAAAAATATGTATAGTACTGTAAATGTATTTATTTCCTTATGATTTTTCTTAAATTTTTTTCTCCAGCTTATTTTATTGTAAGAATACAATATATAATACGTATAACATACAAAATACGTATTAAGCGACTATTTATGCTATCAGTAAGACTTCCGGTCAACTGTAGGCTATTAGTAGTTAAGTTTTTGGGGAGTCAAAAGTTACATGCAAATTTTCAAATGTGCAGGGATTCGGTGCCTCTAAGCCCCTCCTTGTTCAAGGGTCAACTGTATATTTCTTTCTACATTAGATGAGAGTTTAGCAACCTATAGTATTTGTTATTGGGCACCTGACCACTTATTTCTCCTTAGGGGAACCTTTTTCTTTCACCCCGCATCCCCTTCTTGAACATTACATTTCCTCATTTTCCTATGTGACTCAGGCCCACCACTGTTACCCAGGGAAACCACTTAGCATGTTAGCAGATGACAGGGCTAGGGGGACAGCCTGTTCCTCTTAAATGACAGTTATAGAAGATATGACTGATGGACTTTGTAGCTCAGACTAGATGGTCTTGACATAATCTAATCGGATCTGACCACACCTACCGACATTCTGATGTTAAAATCCATTGTATTTTTAGAAACAGAGAGGGGAAAAAAGCAGTTGTGTATACTGAGAGTCCCTGCTTCCAAAACAGGTTTACCCTTACGGCTTTCACCTGAGGTATCACTACCATATCAAACAAACTGGGCAGTGAACTCTGATGGGAAGATCTGAATGGTAAAAAGTGGAAAGAATGATGGTGGTAGTTGTGACAAGAGTTCAGGGTGCCAGGGGTAAGGTGGGGGCGGGGGGTTCTTAATGTTGTCTACTACAGACAACTGTGTCTAGGGTAAGGGAAATGAGGCTGCTTCCGCAGAGCAGGATATTTTTTGACTAGAAATTTTACTTGGTGGGATGGGTAGAGAGTGTGAGATGGATAGTGAAGTATGGATCACAAGGCAGAAAGAGAAGGATTATTCTGGTGGGAAGGAGGGGCAAATTAAGTGTGCCTTCTCAATGCTGCTTTTAGTCTCTTTTCTTGATGCTTCCCTGCTCCTTACAATCTCGTTCTTTTCCACTACATGTTTCCTTAACTCCTTGTCTTGGAGTTGGAGAAATTTCTCACTTTTCTCCTGGAATGTTTTTTATTTTTCCTTTCAAAAACATTCTTTCCCCAACCAAACTGATTTTTACTTGTGACACCTTTAGGTATTTCTCTGTGTCACAGTCTTGGATGGAAATAAGGTTCCCCACACCTTCTTATACTAGAAAGTAGGAAAGAGTATGGCAATTAGAATGATAAAGATGGTCAGGATAGTGAAGTTTGTTTTTTAATTGATCAGAAAGGCTAAATTTTCTCAGTTAAATAATGAGATAAAATAGTAGAGACATACACTGAACTTTATGAAGGGATGGACTATTTAATACATTATAACATTTCCCCCACTCCTGATATTCTAACATTATGCTTAGACTATGCATCAATAAAAAGATCTTTGATTTAAAAAAATATATGCAACACTTTACACTTTCATAGTGTTCCATAATTATCGAAAATACTACAAGGGATAGGAAATACACTGAGTACTAAACTTGGCTGTTTGGGAAGGCAACTTACCTTCTAATTTTATGTTTAATTATAATTATTACAATGACAAGGTCTGAACCCCTATTAATATAATATGCTGCCCACCAGGGAGAACGTCCTCTCATGAAATTTTATTTATCAAACTCTAGCTGCTAACTGAAAAGTCAACTGCAATCAGACCAGGTAAACTTAGTAAGGCCTGAATCAGCTGCTTTACTATCTGGCTAAAAAGAACGCCACAGGGAATTATTAGAAATCCAATGTAACCAGGAATATTTTTTACCCGCCAGAAAGAGGCTTGCTCCAAAAGTCAAGTTAATATGGTCTAGCTTAGGTATAGCTGCCTCTTGTTTTTAAGGTTGCTATCTTGTTCTGAGTTAGCCATTTACAAGTCCAGATATTTTTTAAAAATAGTGTCTGTTTAATTATAAATCAAAGCAACATACAATAAATGAGGTATATTTTTATATACCTGGAATCTACTCTGTAAATCTGCTGTCACCCAAACTTGAATACTAAAGTGATTCAGAATCGTTTTAAAATAACTGAGATATAAATTTCTAACTTAATCCAGAGAGTGAATGTAATTAATTTGTCTTTATAAACGTGTTGCTAGTTTCTGTCTTATTCCTAACACATTATAACAAAAAGGGAAAGTAACCTAGAGTAGGGAAAAAACCCCTCATTTGCCATAAACCATATGCTTTCTCAATCCCTATTTACTGAGCCCATAATGAGACTACAAAACAACAGGGAAAGAGACACTTTACTAATTTAAAGGCCTAGAAACAAAGACAAAAATATTATAATCAGAGCTCTCAGGCTGTGTCATTAATGATTACTAGGCAGCTAGAGGCCTGTTTAACAAGTAGAGAGTAAGGCCAAAGATGGAGGTCTAGCATGCTTACTGCCTAAAGTTAGGGAGACCAATGGACTGCATGCAAGAGGCAAATGAATGTCATCTGTGGTATAATTATTCCTATTTTGGGAAGTATGTGGATTGCCAAGATGAGAGGCTACCAGGTAATAGGTCACACTGACCCTGAGGTTTCCCATTCTCTTGCTGAGACAGGCAAGGAACATGGTAAAGAAGCATTTGGAATGATATTGTATTTAACATGAGGAGGTGCAAATGATGACTTCATATTCAGCACTCCCAACAACCAAACCCAAATCACCTCAAACTGCAGAGGAGTATTACAGCGACTAGCAGTAGTAAGAGACGTGATTGGTGAGAACATGAGGCTGTATCCATTTCGACATTCTTCTTCTGGGTGAGATGGGCCAGGTGTGGTCAGCTGGGGGCTCTTTGAGCCTGGATTGGGAGGGGGTGGTGTGACTGGAGAAAGAGGCCGAAGTAACTTGGTGACATTCTGCTCCATCAGATAGCGAGACTTCCATTTCTTTAAAGGGCTCAACAAATCTGTGAAATACAAAGCCCAGATGAGAGGCTGAAACCACAGCTCAAAAGAAGGCTCTGTAGTAAAGCCATTAATTTCTAGCCCACAATGGCTCTTAACTTTTCTTTTGCCTCAACCCATTGTTACCTCCTGCAATCAAATCAAAAGCCCAAAGAAACTCTTTAATTGCCACTCTTTTTTGAAACTATCTCCCAGAGAATTGCCAGATAAAACTGACACTTCTGACTGACCCCTGGAGCTAATTTCTTCCAGTGGAAAACATAAATTAGTTTTTACATTGAGTTTCCAAAACACCCAAATTTGTGTCACTTTGTAAAAACCGCCCTCTACTTAATTAACATGTCACCAGCTTAAACTTCCTGAATGCTAACTCTTTTCTCTTTTATCTTCTCCTAAACATTTTTTTGGCCATTTTTCAGCAGCTTTCGATGACATTCTGCTTTAGTAGGAAAGAGGTACACATGATTACCTATTCCATATGTAACCACTAATTTTTGAAACGACTTCTATGAAAACTCCCAACCACTTAAAACAACTAGGCTGGAACTTTTTCTCATTAGAATATTATACTTTCAGCCGAAACCGGTTTGGCTCAGTGGATAGAGCGTCGGCCTGCGGACTGAAAGGTCCCGGGTTCGATTCCGGTCAAGGGCATGTACCTGGGTTGCGGGCACGTCCCCAGTGGGAGATGTGCAAGAGGCAGCTGGTCGATGTTTCTCTCTCATCGATGTTTCTAACTCTCTATCTCTCTCTCTTCCTCTCTGTGAAAAATCAATAAAATATATATATATAAAAAAAAAGAATATTATACTTTCTATACTTTTTAGGTCTACTTAAAAAGGAAGTTAGTATTGTATATATTTTTTAATGCCTACTCAGACCAAAGAACCTATCTCGCTTTCTCTGAGGAAAAATTTACTTTTATTCATTTACAATAGTTAAAAGATATTTATTTACTTAATAGCTACTATATGAAAACCACTGAACTAAGTTATTTGTATGTGTGTATGTAAAATGGTCATCATATAATCTAATCAAGGGTATTTACAAACTTGTAATAAACAGAAAACATGTAAAATATACTTAGTATAAGTTTAAGAATCTCAACAGAGGTGATTGATCATACTGCTGTTAGTAAAAAATAACTACACTTTTAAGTGCTTATAATATACCAGACACTATACTATGTGCTTATGTGAATTAATCAGATTTCATTTGAACAACTCTATAAATTCAGCACCTCTATTATCATCCCCAGTTTAAAGACGAATTTGATGTATAGAGAGATAAAGACAAGGTAATCTGGTTCCCATTTACATTATTAATCACTAGATTAAATTATATCCCCAAGGCTTGGTGAATGGAGTAACATTTATCCCAGGCCATCAAGGAAAGGCTTTGGGACAGTAGGTCATGATCAGAGTTATGCAACATTAATATTATTCCGGTAGTAATGGTTAGGATATGATTAGAACTGGGAAACTATTTGAATTAATGGAAGAGTTAACCAAAAGAGTTTTGAGTCACTGAGCTTGAGAAGATTTTAAATACAGTGGAAGATTAAGTGCAAAGAATACTTGAGATATATATTTTCCTTTTTGATATCTGAGAATTTATTTTCCTATATTGGAAGTATATTTGTATTTTCCTTTTGTTCCAGATACTAAGTATTCTTTCTTATTTCTCCTTTTGAAAAGTGCCTAGGTATACAAAAACAAATGTGTTTCATGGCTTATATTTATCTTTTTTTAAAAAAATATATTTTATTGATTTTTTACAGAGAGGAAGGGAGAGGGATAGAGAGTTAGAAACATCGATGAGAGAGAAACATCGATCAGCTGCCTCCTGCACACCCCCTACTGGGGATGTGCCCACAACCAAGGTACATAGCCTTGACCGAATCGAACCTGGGGCCCTTTGGTCCCCAGGCCGACACTCTATCCACTGAGCCAAAACGGTCAGGGCTCGTGGCTTATATTTAGAATACCTTTTCTATATTTCAAAAGTCTTAAACAGTCAATCTTTAAAAGACTGTTAAATAGCTACTTACAACATTTTAACAACTAATTATATAAGTGACAAAGTTCATTGCAGAAAAGCTGGAAAGTACAGATGAACCCATCCCCCAAATCAACTTACAGGTCATTCATTTAAAATATACTAATATTCCCTGAGTACTTATTATTATGTCACAGTCAACAAAACAGACCTGATGTCTGCTCTTATGAAGTTTATAAGCTAGTGGCCAATTGCATTTTTTTCTATTAATAGCACTATATTTATGAAAAGTTTTTCCAGTTCTATATTTCTCTTGTCATACACAGCTTTCAAATTTTATGTGGTAAAATCTATCCATCTTTTTTTTTTTTTTAACCTTTACTCAACTACTTCTCAGGATTATATAAACAAACATCCACATATTTAAACACAACTTAAAATTACAACCCCAAGGTAATGTACTGCTAATATCCTGGTGTATTTATATTGCCTTATTGATTTCTTGTCTAAATCGCACTGCTTAATAACTTACTACTTTTACTCAGAAATATATGGTAAAAAAAAAATCTTCCTATGACAATAAATTAAAAATTTAATGGCTTTATGACATCCATATTGTTAAAATTTAACCCACTGAAGTATTTTTAAAAATTTTTTGCTATTATAACTATGCCTCAATGAGCAATAATCTTACTCTTACATATTTCTGCACTTGTTCACTTTAAAAAAAATAATTTTATTGATTTCAGAGAGGAAGGGAGAGGGAGAGACAGAAGCATCACTGATGAGAATCATTGATAAGCTGCCTCTGGCATGCCCCCACTGGCGATTGGGTCTGAAACCTGGGCATGTGGCCTGACCGGAAATTGAATCATGACTCCCTGGTTCATAGGTGGAAGCTCAACCACTGAGCCACGCCAGCTGGGTGTGCACTTGTTTACTTTTTAGGACAAACATCTAGATGTAGAATTATTAACTCAAAAGAGTATTTCCATAGGCTCACTAGCTTTAGATTTATTCTTGTGTGAACTACCAGTTCATGTCCTTTAGCCTGCATTCTACAAGGTGTTGATATTGCTCTTCGTTTGTAAGGGTTCTTTAATAAGAATGTTACCCTTGGTCAAAAATGTTACAATGATCTGGTGGCCCCTGTGGCTTGGTTGAGCATTGTCCTGTGCACAGAGAGGTCAGAGGTTGCTGGTTGGATTCCCGGGTTGCAGGCTCAATCCCCAGTAGTGGGTAGGGAGGAGGCAGCCAATTGCTGTGTCTCTCTCAAATAAATAAACAAACTAGTTATATTCTCCCAGTTTTCTATCTGCCTTTTAATTTTATCAGTAGGCTTTTTTGCCTTTTCAATGTTTTATCTCTATATTTAATTTTAAAATAAATCTTTATTGTTGCCTGGACGGCGAGGCTCAGTGGTTGACCATAGATAGACCCTTGAACCAGGAGGTCACAGTTTGATTCCCGGTCAGGGCACATGCCTGGGTTGCAGGCTCGATCCCCAGTGGGAGGTGTGCAGGAGGCAGCCGATCAACGATTCTCTCATAATTGATGTTTCTATCTCTCTATCCCTCTCCTTTCCTATCTGAAACCAATAAAAATATTTTAAAAATACCTTTATTGTTGAAAGTATTACATATGCGCTCCCCCCTCCCCATTGATCTCTTCTAGCCCACCTCCATCCCCCACCCCCAGCCTTCACAACCCTATTGTCTGTGTCCATGGATTATGCATATATGGATACAAGTTCTTTGGTTGATTTCTTCCCACCCACCCACCCACCCCCACCCACCCACCCACCCCCACCTTCCCTCTGAGATTTCACAATCTGTTCCATGCTTTTATGTCTCTGGATCTATTTGATCATCAGTTTACTTAGTCATTAGATTTCACATATGAGTGAGATCATGGGATACTTGTCTTTCTGACTGGCTTATTTTGCTTAGCAGAATACTCTCCAGGTCCCTCTATGCTATCTCAGAGGGTAAGAGCTCCTTCTGTTTTACTGCTGTATTGTGTAAATGTACCACAACTTTTTTATCCACTCGTCTATTGATGGACACTTGGGCTGTTTCCAGATCTTAGCTATTGTAAATTGTGCTGCTATGAACATAGGGGGGCATAGATTATTTCTGATTGGTTTTGGGTCTCTTAGGATATATTTCTAGAAGTGGGATCACTGGGTCAAATGGCAGTTCCATATTTAATCTTTTGAGGAAACTCCATACTGTTTTCCATAATGGCTGCACCAGTCTGCAGTCCCACCAGCAGTGTACTAGGGTTATTTTTTCTCCACATCCTCGCCAGCACTTGTCATTTGTTGATGGTAGCCATTCTGACAGGTGTTAGGTGATACCTCATTGTTGTTTTAATTTGCATCTCTCTGATGACCAGTGACTTTGAGCATTTTTTTTCATTATGTCTCTTGGCCATCTGTAAGTCTACTTATGGAGAAGTATCTATTTTGGTCCTTTGCCCATTTTTTAATTGGACTGTTTGTCTTCTTTTTGTTAAGTTGTATGCGTTCCTTATATATTTTGGATATTAACTCTTTATCTGATGTATTATTGCCAAATATGTTCTCCCATATAGTGGGCTTCCTTTTCATTTTGTTGGTTTTTTTTTAAAAAAAATTTTGTTTTATTGCTTAAAGTATTACAATTGTTGGGGTTTTTTTGCTGTGCAGAAGCTTTTCATTTTGATGTAGTCACATTTATTTTCTCTTTAGTTTCCTTTGCCCTAGGAGATGTATCCGTAAACATATTGCGACAAGAGATGTCTAAGATTTTGCTAAGTTTTCTTCTAGGATTTTTATGGTTTCTAGACTTACATTTAAGTCTTTTATCCAATTTGAGTTTATTCTTGTGTGTATGGTGCAACTTGGTGGTCCAGTTTCATTTTTTTGCATGTATTTGTCTAATTTTCCAAACACCATTTAGTGAAGAGACTGCCTTGACTCCATTGTATGTTCTTGCCTCCTCTGTCAAATATTAATTGGGAG